ATCGTTCTTCCTCAGGAATGGTGCATTGTGCAGCACAGCTCCTAATGTCCCTCGCCCAGCCTATTCCTATGTCAGCCAGTATCATTCTCTTCATCCCTGCTCACAGCTGTTCCCACCGCCTTCTGTTCGACGTTGCGATAGAGAGTGGCCACCGTCCAGCGTGTGCCTGCTATGAAGCCTCAAAAGGCACAGAGCGGGCCTCTGACGTCAACACTCAACCTGGCACTTCAGTAACCCGACCTAACGCACGTCAATGCTGCCAGTGTCGGAACACAACTTACACCAGTTTACACTAAAGACCTGCTGGTTAAAACAAGACCAGGACAATCGACAGTTGATACTATATAAATGCACAAGAAACCAATTAATTCAAAGCAACAAATTCAGCCATTCAGCTCAGGCACAGCAGCAATTGTTCTTACATTGCAAGGTGCAGAACTTATTCTCTTCACACAAAGGGTCCTCAAGGTGTTTCAACGCGATTCGTAGGCAGCCATATCGATCTTCGTACGACAATGGGAAGTCATGGAGTCGGGCCGTACTGTTGGGTTTCTACGTGAAGCATTGGCACCGGAACGTGGCGTACATCGGGATGAATTCATGCGTACTGGAGGTCTTCCTAAAGTCAGACTTGCCAACTCTTCTTCCAGTCTGCTTACTAATGATTGCTATAATATTACAATTATACACCTGCTTACATGCCGTAATGGCCATGGGGGTCATACCCATGCAATGTTGGTGAACATCAAAGTAGCAGGCCCGACAACAACCTTCATCAGGCCCGAGGGCCCTGTCGACATGAACCAACAGGTCATTCCTTCCTTTCCGCCGAGGATCGGATTTCACCTTCCAGCATTCACGAGCAACACCTCCAGCGTTCGTGTGTATATGTATGATAGGTATTGATAGGTCCATGATAGGTTCGTGAGAAAGATCTTCCATGACTTTCCGAAATGCTCCCATAAAATCCCACAAAAAAAAAAAAGAACATAGGCCATAGGATCCGGGGCTAATTGGCTACATACATATTCGTTCATCCTACAAAGAAAGCCAACGTCCAGTGCGACTCAAATCTGATCATCAAAGTATATCAGAACTGGATGCAATCTTGATCCAAGAAGTCTGCATACCACTAAAAAGGCCAAGGCACATCGAAGATAATAGGACTCTTTCATCCGTGGGTTGCAGCAAATGCCCTGGCCCTCTTTGCACTTCCATGGCTTGATCACTTCTCCACCTGCCCAATGGGAGTTCGATCGATCAACAAACACACCTCTGGGAAGGAGAAGTTACATCAGGATCAGGAGGCGCAGCTGGGAGGTGATTGGGCTGCTGGAAACTCCCCAGATTCATCCAGATTCACCCACTCCAGGCAAAAAGGACAGAAGTTCTGAACTTCACCCCACGGAGTCTTTCGCACCTTGGCTGCACACGGTCTTCGTGCTTCCATCACCCTCTTCCGACTCCTCCTTCTTGCAGGTGACCTGGGAGGAGGGTGAGACGGTCCAACTCCAAAGATCATCCGGTCCACTCCACACTTGACAACTCCAAAGGCCCTGTTGACAGTGTTTTACTCAGCCACACTTGGTGCAATTGAGGAGCCGGTTTGCTTTCCTTGCAACGCCGAGACATGCCGAGACTGCACTGTAAAGGGTTCACCACGCAATGCTTCTGCGCACCTTTCATCACCCTCCCTTGAATTGGTGCGCAGAAAATCCATTGCGCTCAACAGAAATTCACCTTTCCCGTGGTTGCGCCCTCCTTGCTGTCACTGATGAAGTCTGTCAGGTTGGACCGATCTCGGCCTACAAATCATCACATTACAGTACACCCTCCACATTCACATCCGGTACCCAAAAGACAGTAGACGTATATCAATATTCAATATATATATATATAATATATATATTATCAATATATATATATATAAATATATATTATCAATATATCATACAGTAAATCCATTCTCCTCCAAGTGTCATCCAATGGACTCACGTCTTGCCCACCTCCTTGGGTGGTGGTCACCGCAGTGGACGCTGCTGGACCAGGAGCCGCCCCGATGCCGTCGTCCAGGTCGTCCATTTCGTCTGCAACACGAACAAATCCGAGAGCAAATCGGAGAGCTGTCATGACATCTGTTGATGAAACCAAAAAAGAACATGTTTGACAACTCCTTCCAGGCTTTGCTGCCAAGGGTATGGCAGAAGCCTTTTGAAAGATTTTGACATGCATGCCGTCGCGGAGACGCCTTCGCCCTTAAGCGAAGAAGAATTGATTCCCTCCAACCACACGCTACACACCCATGCCTTCGGTCTCCTCGTCACCAAGCAAAATCGGCCTTCGACAGCGATCAATGCATCCGAAATTCCTTTGGGGTGAAACGGTCTGCCGCTTTTTTTACAGGTGATGTGAGCTCAAACGAACGGGCTGCCCATGGGTTCCACAAAGAACATCCAGGGAATGCTTTGCAGACCTCCTTTTCACTTCCAGAATGTGACAAGTATCTCAAAACTCTTCCACTGCATCGAACATAGACACTCTGAGAAGCACCCATGTTGAAATGGTGATGCTGTGCTGCAATCTGCAGCCAAGGCCAAGCCTGTCTTGAGGTCCGGCAGCATCCTCGGACAGTATCAACATCAAGCTGAATCCTTGCCTCTCAGCATGCCTTTAGTCTTGGTTATCTTTGGTTCCATGTTAAGTCAACATCCACCATACATGTGCGAGAATCGTAATCTTCAAGCATCTGCGAATGGCCTGCGGCAGACTTTTACAGCATGGATAGAGTCATAGTATATACTCACAATCTAGAAATTGAGCCGAGGCGAAGCTTGTTGTGAGCCGAGTACTATCCCCTTCTCAGCAATCATGAAATCAATTTAAACCTCCCATGGATTCATGGATCCAATGAAACCCATCCAGTTCTTTTGGACTGGATATCACTTCCTCTATCGAACCGATTCTCCTTTCGTCAAACAAATTGCCAAAGATTCTCCTTACCGATTGCTTTCAAATCTTGGATGACCTCCACTGCATCCACTTTGATTTGTACACAAAGCGCCTCTCCCAACTTGCCGCGCCTGACCCCTGCCACTCCCAACTGCGACATACTGCCCATTCCGAGGGTCCACTTCCATCCGCAGCAAACGCCCTGACGCTCGTCGATGTCTCCTGGCAAACTGCCACATGGAGATACGGTATGCGTGATGTGATGCCCAGGGTTTCTGAAAGGTCCGGGGACACAGTGGCACCATCTGGCACTGCCCTCACGTTGAGTCATCTCTGAAGAACAATGAGAGCGCCTTCCGAACATCAAAAGTGTTAAAATGATGTGTTTTTGGGCTTGTTCGGGAATGTTCGCGAGGGTGAAGCGCAGCCGCACGAGTCACAGCATGTCAAAGCATACCCTGCGTCCTGGGATGAAGAGCATCTGAAGGTCCTGAGACTTTGATTGATCGGAAGCACAGCTGGAAAAGCCAAAGCTTGTGCTGTTCCATCGTTCAAGGATATTCTACCGCCTTATGACATCATGCACAGCTTAACCAAACTCGGTCTCAACTCGTGGATTTGAGAGAAATCTGATGGATGTGAAAATGATTGAGCATGTGCAGCTAGGTGTCGATAGGCGCGGTCGACGCCCACTACAGTATCCAAAGAAGCCAGGAAAATCCTGAGGGGCTGATCGCTGCCAGCACATATCTTGAACGACGCTGCTTTTGTGTTGACATTGGTCGGGTGATGGGGGCAAAAGGCCTTTGATTCTTGAAGAGCATCATAAGCTTGACTACATTGCTTTCGGATGTTTGTCAACGCAAGGATGCACAAAACGAGGAAACCTCCCAGGTGGACATGGTAAGCCGTTTATTCATGTCGAGGCCATGTAACACATCTACCCAGAAGGAGGTTCCAGTCTTATGAAAAAAAGTCAAGTCAAGTCAGAATGAACCTGCACGTTCTGCATATAACTATATTTGTTCATATTTTATAATAGTCTGTTCGGCATAGGTGCATAATAGGTGATTTGCAGAGCCCGAAGCCAAGCCGCACTGCAAGCAGCTGCTTGCGCATGGGTTCGCTATGCAAAATGAAGACAGTCTACCTTAGCGTTCCAGATGCGCGAGTTTAAAGTAGCTGGAAATTAGACGATTAATGGTGTTCTATGCCGAAAAGACCAAAATCAAAGAACCAACTAACCTGGCATCAGGTGCAAAATAGAAAGAATTTGATTGAACTGTGTTCATCTGTCTTCCACCAGCCGGACCCAAGTTGGCAAACAAATAGACCCTGGCGCAAATTCCGTCATGGCGAATCCTGACCAAAGTGTCCAAAAACCGACAAATCAGGACTTACTCTGAGGCGGTCGACAAGGTCTCGCATGGAGGTCTCGCACATCTGACGACTCACAATGGTGGCGACTTCTGTCTTGGCTTTGCTCAGACCTGAGACCTAGATGGGTATGTAACCCCTTCAATCGACATCTCATCTCCTCAAAAATATTTGCATGTTGCTCAAGTCGTAATGCTATGCAGTGGTAGTGGTACTCTGTTGTGATGTTCACGCAATTCACTCTTCTATCTTCATCACCCAGGATCAATGTTGGCAAACCAAGCTAAAATGGCTACCAGGACAGGGCAATCACTCATCGATCAAGGTTGGCCTTAGGACCTTTAGGACGTTAGGAGTCGAAGCAAAACGAAACCCAAGAGGTGTTTCAAAAACACACTCCAGTTGCTTAAAAAATAACTACGAGTGGAGTCATGGTCAATGGAGCCATGGTCCAAGAAAAACACCCCAGTTGCTTCTTGGATCGGAGGAATTGTGGGATCAATGGTCAAGCACGTCGAAGCCCAAACGGACCAAAGCAGTCCAAAGCCCTCTGAACCCATCCGAACCGATGTATCCTCCCTTTCTAGCACCTGCATCCGAACCAATCATTGGAGTCATTTTGGAGTCATGTCCCATGGTCGACATGGCCATGTCATGAGGCTGGGCCTCCCCACCACACGATGCGCCAAAAAAACGTCCGGTGGCCACGCCCTGACGTTCTGGGCCTCAACGACACGTCGGGGAGCTCGGATGGGACCGATCAGGTCAGAAGCGATCGATAAATAGACTGGACCTATCGTGATATTCAATGAGGACCATTGTAATAGGGTGAATTTGGGTGGCATATATACAAAGATATTGAAGAATTCATATATTGACACTTGTGATGACGGTTGGTTGATAGGTTGACTTTTACTCTACAAGCACCTCTGAGTGCCAGTCTTTTGACCCCCACCACACTGACCTTAGCTCAAACTGGGTTCCTGGACCTACGTCGAACGCCACGTCCGCGTAGGGGACCAGGCCGTTGGGCTCCTGACAGCGAAACTGGAAGACTCGGGATGAACCGAATCTGACCAACATATTTAAAAAATATCTAAATAAAAAATATAGTCTAAAATATATAAGTATAAACAAAAATATCTAAATATAATCTAACGTATACATGAATCTAAAATTAATGTCCAAATGTCCCTGTGTTGGTGTGTGTGTGTGTGTGTGTCAAGGAACTATAGTCCAAACCTCGTCTATGTGGTAAAGGACATTGCCCCGCTTGACCATGAAGCTCTTTGCGCTGTGCTCAGCTTTCCCCTTGCTTACTGTCAACCTGGAAGCCTGGAACAAAGAAAATCACGGGCACCAACAATGGGGCAGCGTAACGAAACTTAGCAGAACCTCCATCAGTACTGGTGCTTCTGGGCACAATTTCCGCAGCGCTCAAGGACTTCAGGCAATAAAGAAACTGGAAAGCCACACCTATGGCCACGATACCCCACTAAGAAAATGGATCACCATAAGTTTTTTGATTATTATATATTAATATATATATATACATAATATCATATAAGATGTATCGGATCTCATCTTGTTACCTGATATTTGCTGGCACTTTTGCATCTGCTGTTTGGACTATTGGCATCTATTCCGGATGAAACCCTGCTGGTGCCCGTGTGACTTCATGCAACTTCTGCCCCCCCGGAAAAACCTGCTGCAGCATGGCCGCCACGCGGAAGTGGTCAGGGAAACCGGGAGGCGGTTCGTAGGCCTCGGCGCGGAGGGAACATGAGGGAATCACTGATGAGTGCGCCAACCCCAAACGCATGCCACAAAAGGTGTGACCATCAGACTTGGAAAAAGAACAATGAACAATAAATAAAAACCATATGTTCCCACTTGCAGATTTGAAATGGAATGGTTCCTGTTAGGTATCGGGAACTACAGGACACCAATGGGGAGGTCAATGCCAAATGGTTTAAGGGCGGATCGTGTCAGACTCTGCCTGTGGGTCCTGGTTGAATCATGGGATCGCAGGGCTTTCCGGATCGAACACGATCAAAGCTTCTGTGGAATTCTGTGAAGAGCGAGGGGTGGATAGGCTGGACATGTCCAGGACGATGCCATAGTCTCATAGAGGTACGTGGCCGTTCCATGTGAAAGTGCTCTGTTTTTTCTGTGAAGTCACCAACCCCATCCAACCCCTCACTTTGCAGCACTTTTTCTGTGTGAAATCACGGAGATTGCGTGAAACCGCTGACTACTGCACTGGAGTGAAGTTGCCAAATCAGCACTTCACGATTCCGGGTCAGACTTCTGACGTGCCTTCCATCGAGGATCGATGGGCTTCTCCGGGGGAATGGGATCCGATTTCTTCGCGGTTGCAGGTGGAACCAGCTTCTCACATTGGTGGCCATGCTGCGGCGATGCATCGTTGCCAAAACTTTGATGGCATCGCTTGCAGCAAAAACCACCAAAGTCCTCTCGGGTGACTGCATAGGAACACATAGGGTGGGCACAACGCAGAAGGTGTTCCCGCCGTTCCCGTTCCCGCTTCTCAGGTGGCTTCTCAGGTCTCTTCTTGGGTGCCGGCGCTGAAGGCACTCGCCAATTGCAGGACCGGAAAAACGTGGGCTTCAAGAGCCACTTCTTGGCTTTCTCATAGGCCTCGTTCACCAGGTTGAAAGCCTGTCGAATCCGGTCCACGCCGTCCACGCCACGTTCCGTGAGCTGATCTGCAAAGCTGGAGCTCTTGTCCGGGTGCAACAGGAGAAATAGACCCTTCTTCCGGCGTTCCAAATCCCGTTCGCTGAAATCTTTCTCTAGGCTAAGGACTCTAATCCAATCCAGGGGATCGTTCGTCACTCGCAGGATGCGATCAACCTCAGCAGCCAACTGGTCCTGTCTTCGACCGGCTTCTGCTTCTTTCGCTTGAAGGTCGGCCTCTTTTTTGGCTTGGGCAGCGGTCCTCTCGGACTGGTCGGACTTTACCTGCTGTCTTCCTCCAGCTTGGCCCGCACACGGCGTACCTCGCGGTTCTGTTGACTCTTTCGAGGAGCACCCGTTGCATGTGCCACTCGGCTGAGGCTGAGCTGCACGCTCCGAACCACGCGGCTCGCTCGAAGGCGAGCGCTCCGGCTCGCAGCACGGCTCCGGCAGGGGTGAGTACTTGGAGGGTGCTTCGGTGCATGGCACTTGGAAGAAAATGGCACCCTGCAGCCAGACCGGTGGCGAGGTCGGGCGTGGCGTCCTGGGCTCTGGCACCGGGCCGCTGGGAGTGTAGCGCTTGGGGAAAACGCTCCATGTCATGCGCATGGGTTCCAGCTTCTCGATGTAGCTCAAAGGCCCAGCTTGGAGCTCTTTCACTCGCGCCACCTTCGCAGCTTTGGCATCGTCCATCCCGGCTACTCAGAACCTTTCAGCCATACTTGAGCCGCACTGTGCAGCTTTAGGCAGTAATTAGTATTACATCGTTGCCTCATGTCTCTGAGTTGGCACACATGATTGAACAACTTATATTAATATATTGAACAACATGTTCTCGTAAGCATGATATGTCCAAAATGCCGGGATCCCGCCAACCAATTCTCAACTTACCACTGTTCCTCTTTGCCGACGCTCATGGCCCAGCCTCGGGCGGGTTGGGAGGCCGTAGAGCCTTCAAAAAGGTCAGTCCGGAGCCGCAGAAAGAACAAACATAACATAACATCTAAATGTTTAGACCTATATATAAGAACAAATCCTGGAGGCCATCGCTTCTAGGTTATGTTTAAAATAGTTTAAAATGTTTAAAACACCTGTTAAAAGGTCCCAATTGAAGCCATCTTCTTTTGGCGTCGCTTTCCACGGGTTTGGGCATCCCATCTAGCTTCCATGGCCATGGCCAAGTACTTGTACGTCTGCATGTCTCAAGGACTTTGTGTCTCAGGTTGTGAGTGGATGACCCTTTCCATAAAGATCTGCCGCTTCCATCTCTATGATCTATTCTATTCAAAACCCATCACGAGCGCCTTCAACAAGCGCCTTAAAGGAGCACGGGCATTGCAAAGCAACGCTTTGGCCTGCACCTGGCGCGAAAGGTGCGTCCGCCGCTGTTGGATCTGAGAATCGGGGCACGGCCAAGGACAACACCCCAAGATACACCAAGTGAACTCCAAGTGAAACACGATATGGCCACACTTGGTGGTCACACCTTGCAGCCTTGCAGCCTTGCATCATTTGGTTGGCCCGTCGCTTGGCTCGTTCGTTCGGCCATTCGTTCCGCATCAGGTGACCTCCAAGGAGCCAAGCCGCTTAGACCGACCGACCGGTTGGCGGTCTTCGGAAAGACGAACGGGTGGCAAAACGACCAGATCCCCAGTGGGAGAGAAACCTTGTGGCACCAGCATCGATGGGATCGGCATCGGTCCTACCTTGAAGTTCTTCAAGACGAAGGACAGCACCCAGAAGTTGAGACTGTCGATGGCCATCTGTGCGTCTTCGTTGACGAAAAGGACAGGACAAGGACATGGTTTGAAGACAACAAACTTCTGAGACCCGAACATAACGGCAACAACTCTGAGATGATGTTGAGATATGTTAAGAGGTTCAATTTTAGTTAAACATCGGATTCTAAAAAATGATGGCTATTGGCCAGCGATTGCCGGTGGATTGAAGAAAGGTCAAGGTCTGCCACTGAGTCCTGGTCCAAGTGGCCTCCAAAAAACTCAGGCCAAGGGCATTTTGCTTTTGAAACCTTGGTGGCGCTGATGTGTTGGATCAGGTTTGCTGTAAATGTGTGAACATGTTGAGGTGGGGTTGCTGGTTCCGCTCACAGTTTCCATCTCCCAATTTCACACGAAAGCACAAAGTGTAATAAAACATCGCACACAATCATACAAACTTGACCTCATCTAAATCTAGATCTATGTATATATATATATATTATATAGATATACATTTTATAAATGTACTATAGACAAATATTATACATACAGCAAATACTTAGACAACAAAAACATCATGATGCGCTCTGTGCACTTGGCACCCCCACACCGGTGGAGGCGCCTTGGCCGCCACACGCTTGAAAAGAGCCGCCACCTAGCCACCGCTGGGGACAGGGACGGTGGAACGGTGCTGGGGTTCCAGGTGTGAAGTGGGAACTCTTCCTGGAGATGACCTGCCGCATCCTTTCAAAAGACTGCAGGAGAACTAATGTTGCACGGGCTGTTTGGTCTTTGAGGGGTTTGCGCTAGTTTGAGGTCAAAACATATTCAATATTCCAAAGGTCCAACTGTTTCAAGTACTATGAACCCTTCAAGTTTCCGAACGCAAATGGTGCTTGTCCACATGAAGATACCGTTTGGTCGGTTCTGGCCTCTGCATTGAAGGGTCGGCTCATGCAAAGCCTGGGTCGCAAGTCAAGTGCGCGTGACATTCCCAAGTCAATTAATCAAAGACGGTCTTTTCTGGTGCGCTTTGTGGGGTGGAACTTCTGACCCAGACTTCGTCGAGGCTCTGCAATCCATCCCGCCTGCGTCAAGTTCATCACTCCCCCGCCCCCCGAACTGCAATAGCGCAGGAATGATCAGGAATGATACCAAGAAAACCCCAGAAATGAGAAAGAGGATTTTCTCCTTCATGCAGTCACTTAAGTATCCCCAAAACTACGTCTGTCAAAAAGATTCAACAAGCAAGACCATCTTAAACATGTACCAAACATTGCCTTATGATTTTGGTAGATTTCCACGTCGCAAATTTCGCAGATACCATGGTGGGCCGCAAGGCACAAACATCACCCGCCACAATCGACATGTTTTGGAATGTGTCGAGCTCAGGGGCATACACTGTCGAGGAGGGGGGGGTCAACATAATGAAAACTTACACATACACAAGGGAGTGCACACTGATCTTGCCCTCTCGGATTCGATTCAATACACCCACCCAACCAACCAAGGTTTTGGCAGGTGCAGGAGCGTATCGCCTTTCCGCTCGTGCACTTCGTCAACCTGGTGGAAAGACGGCGTCCGGGTCCTTGACTAAATTTTAGGACTCTCTTAACGATGTAGGCTGTTGGGTGTGACATAATTCTATAGACTATATAAAGATATGATATGTATATATATAGTCTTTCTGTGGCATTTAGACTGTAGACTATTGTAGACCATACCAATGGTTTAAACGCCTAGAACATGAAACATTGAATGAACATAACAAGTGTCCAACTCCCGAAACAGTTCAAAGCTGCCCAAGGGCTTCGTCGATCATCGATGATCGAACCGCCCAGAAGGCCTCACCTCGACCCCTGTGGCTGTGCCGGGCGGGAAGGTCTCCCAAATGTATTGCGCCAAACCTGATCCAATGATGCACGAAGATCTCAAAACCACGAAGGATAGGTCTGAGACAGGTCCGGTCTAGCTTCAGACTCAAGGTAGAACATGGTGGAACTTGATTGAGCCACCAGCACATGCTGTAATACTCGTCAAAGGCTCTCAGGCAGCCGCTGTGGTGGTGGAAACTAATGGCATGCCAGAAGATGGAATGGCCGGATGCCTGAAAATCTCAACCATAATCTCTGCACGGAAGATGACCGCATGCAAGTGAAAAGCAAAGCATGAGGAGTCAGATTCAGATATCGCTCCTTGGAGTGTCCATTGATATGTTATTTAAACAAAAAGACAATAAGCAAGTACCGGGGAGTCTTAGTATGCTTTCAAGCTTTCAAGAATGTAACATGTAGAGCTGACCCTTCTTTGCTCATCTAAGCCAGTGGCATCCCGGGTCCTTCCATCGCATGCCTTCCTGGACTCATCCATCAAGCCAAGTTGAAGGCTCGGGAGGGAGCCCTACAAGCTTTAGGATGCTTTGGGTGTTGATTTGGCAGCCTACACAAAGGTGTTTTTTGGGGAGGAGGGGGTCTTCCTACTCTCATACACCTGAACATCATGGATATTCATGCCTCCGACTCGCATGGAAGATCGACCCTAGCCAAATCCGTGGTGCTGGTGCGAGATCCGTGGTGCTTCAGCTCGGGAATCAGAGTCAAATGTTTGGCTTTTTGGCCTGCACCCTTGCAGATTCGATGTAATAAAAGCTTGAATCCCAAGATGCATCCCCAGTGACCTACTGGTGTCTTGCGGAGATTGTGTCTGGATCCCAATCCAAGTTAACACCCTCAGCCCCACATGATTCATGAGTGGAGTAGATCAGGAACAAGAAGGGGGTGATGGTCATGTCTCTCGCTGCCCTGGGCAAGCTATGTCTATCCCAAGCTCTCATCCATCTCTGGCGAATGATCCTCGCCTCCCCACGAAAGCCTTGACGATAGACTCATCACCTGTGTGAACCTGAGCTGTCTCTAGCTCAGCGAGCGGCAATGGCAGATGCGGGAAGGGCCGTAACGGCGAAGGCCCGGTGAAGGCCGGGTGAACAGACATAGGAAAAACTCGATCCTTTCCGAAATGACCTGAAACTTCCCCTCAATTCCTTACGAGTCCCAGTCAGGAGACCAGTTGAAGAGCATTTGATCCTTTTCGCTGTGGGATCCTCGAGGGGTGCCGGTTCTTGGTCTGGCTCACGGAGCATATATAATTCCATGTTCAGTGGAGCCCTTTCCGGAATAAAAAAGCGAAACTTCCCTCATTCATCCTCAGTCCCCACTCTCGTCGCACCAGTTGGTGAAAACAATGTGAACCCCCCCCCCCCCAAGCAGTCCTCCTGGTGCTCAGCCCCCCCACCGCACGCCACAGTCGTTCGGGGTCCAGCGGTCCGGTGTCCTGAAGAGCGGTGGCTCCCTAGTCACTTTGATCTACAACTCAGCTTCTCAATGTTCAATCAATGACCAGCGCCAGGCCCCACGACTCCTTTGATCACTTGGCGCCACGACTCCTTTGCACAAGCCATGACTCCTTGGCTTCCACCCTCCACCCGCTTTTTCGGCGTTGTGTCCTGGGCCTCTTCAGTTTCCGTCTGCAGGGGGCAAAGGGCGAAAGGCAAAGGGCAAAAGGAATCAACACGCCATGCGTGTGCATAAGCATAAGGCACCTTCATAGATGAACCTCTAAATGTCAATGGAGCCAGCAAATGAGAGCACTTGTCACCACTAGATTAGCCTCTATAGTCTATAGATGTGGTGATTACAAAAACAATGCTGGAAGAGAGTTTCAGCATGTTTCAGCCAATGTTTTGTGTTTGCCAACCAGATTCTACGTGGGTGGTGTATGATGTCACTTTCTGGACAGCATGTTACCAGGTGTCATGCTTAGTCCTCCAAAGCCCTCAAAGTCAAGAAGGCTTTGGTGGTGACTAGTTATATTATGTTATTCTGTACTTGTTGCTTCAAGCCCCAAACAACCCGTAAATTAGTTTTTGCACACAACATGAAGCATATGATATGTTTCCGTCTTGTTGCACACACATAATGATGCAATTAAATCAGAAGTGTACAGTAGAATACAATATCACAAATATATCACACATATATTATCATAATTTTCATATATTCATATGATGTAACTTGTCTTGATCATGTATTTCGCGCATTGATCCGACGACAAAGGCCCGCTCCAACCCCGCACCTCGATCCCTTTCACCTGGCACGACTTGCGCAACCACTGCAGGGGCGGAATCTTCACGCCAGGTCACGTGCGGTGCAAGAGAGCGTGGTCCAAATGCCTTAAACAGCCATCAATCTAAACAGCCTGGTGTGTACAACGCCTGGTGGTCTCAGATGCAGCTGCGCAGCTGCGAAGCAAAGCGCACAGGGTCCTTTTTGCATTTTGACCTTTAGGGTGCAGGGCGACTTGTGTGGATTGGGCACAAATCTGCATCTCACTTTTGTCTCGTCTGGTGGAGGGCGGCGTTCTCGTCCTCGTCACCTGAATTGGAACTTCACGGTGGGTATGACCACGTCCACCCCGTCGTCGAGATCTGAAGCGCTCACCTCGAGGGTCAAGTAGCTCTTCTTCGGCGACAAGGTCCTCGGTGGCTCGGGCGAGAAAAACATCGAAGAAAGTATAGATCATTCCAAGCTTCCGTTAAGGCATCCTCAAGAATGGAGGATAATTTCTCTGCATGTTCAAGACCAGAGCAATAAATAAGACCACTATTTGTCCTGGTGTTATCCATATCTGGACATGTGAATCAGTGTATTGCCTTTCCAAGATGTAGTGTGTCCAGAACAAACAAATGAAAAACATTTAAAAAAACATGCCAGGTGTCTGCTTCGTAATGGTCTCCCAAAGCGAAGTGATCTTCTCCTCGAAGAAAATCACGCAAACAATTGGGAAGCGTCGGTCGAAGGCCTACTGAAGTTTGGAAGATGAGAGGGTACAGTAGAGTTTGTATGGTTTCTTGGCTGGTGGGGTTTCCCGTCCCCGACTCCTGCAAAACCTCTAATCAGACGGGATATCATGTTTTGACGTCAGAAATTCAAGCATGTCCTTGAGCCGCTTCTTGTGCGCAGGCACATAGGCATTGTACAGGCAAGCGTTACCGGAGGACATGATCATGACCTCCACTTGAACCTCGTCGGTCAAAAAGTCCAAGAACTCCTGGAGAGTGGCATCCCCCAAGTTGCACTCCACCTGAAGTCATCAACATCTGAGCTCCAAAGTGATCGCATTACAGTGAACATGTTGGACTCTAGGACCGTTCAAAAGCAAACAAAACACGTGAAAAAATATCGAAACAAAAAAACACCTTCTTCGGAATTTATAAGGCTTCAAAATGCAGTCTCCCCAAAAATCCGCGCCCATCCCAGCCAAACCTGCCATTGGACACTCTTCTGGACCCTCTTCTGGCTTCATGCCTCAACTCCGTGCCTTGTCCCAGGAGGTGAATCCCTCCGGCCGGGCTTTCACCGGGCCCATGACGATAGGATCGTGCTCCTTGCTGACGGTCTTCACCGGAGGCAGCGGCTCGGAGAGGACCCACAAGGGCAACGCCAAGGTCACGAAGGCATTCTTGAAATCCTCCACCTGAAGGACTTCCTGTGTAAAACTCATGGAATGGTCGCGTGTATGCGTAAACGTGTTATAGATATATGATTGCAAATAATTTTGTTTTAAAGACATAGTAGAATATACACTATATAATTACAGTGTATGTGTTTACTCAAACACAATCAATATATATATATATAGATAGATACAATTTTTATGTCTATTATGTATATATTGTGTACATCGGGTTCGTCGACTTTGCCTACATTTGGCAATGCTTACAGAAATCAAAGAACACTTTGCCACCTTTTCCAGCAGTCACTGGTCGACTCATTGGCAACTTTGGACCGCGTCCGGCGTAGCGGCAAGGAAGCACAGGAGCCAGGAAGAGTCCGGCACAGCGGTGCAGTGGCAGGGCGACGACAGCCGCAAATCCGCATATTGAGGTCTTTGCCCTCGATTCTTGCTAGCCTTTTCTTCGCACCGTTTACTTTAAATTTTTCTTGGGGTGATTAGCACGCTCTTGAAGCTGTATATACGTGAACATAATCGGTAGATTTGTTGTGTAGCGGTTGCTGAGCAAGGAACCAATATGTTCTCCTATGCACAGAGCCAACGCATTCAACGCCGAAGCAGGGCTGGCGTCCCACCAGCAGAACATTCATCAGCTTCAACTCTGAGCTGACAGGAACCGATATCTTCGCCAGAAGGCCCTCGCACAGCGCAACCGTGACGCCTTAATGCCCCCGATGCCAAGTCAATGGCTGTGAAGTGGCAGATGTTGTCCCAGAGCGCTGGCTCCACTTGCTCGCTCCGACAGTGGAAGGTCAAGAGCTTCTGCATTGCTTCACCCTCACGACGCCTTGCCTGCTGTTGAATCTCCCATCCCTCGAATTGTTGGTAAACAGGCCTTCCCATTCTTAGAAGCCTCGTTGCAAGCCCTGGCGCGCGTGAACCTGTAATGCGACAAGCGCCTGAAGTCTGAAGGGTCTGCCGCCACAACACCGGGTTCAACGCCTGAAGCGCCAGCCTGTGCGTCGCCTGAAACGCCTTGCATCGCCTGAAGCGCCGGCCTTCGCATCGCCTGAAATGCCTGCCGTCGCGTCTCCGAAATCTCCTTTTTCTATCTATCTATATCTCTCTCTCCCCTATCCTGTGATGTGTGGGGGGGAGGCCCATGAAAATGATCCTGATCCTCAATGATAACCAACCGACCACTGTCAACTCCTATAGGTGAGATTGACAGTTAACAAGTTAACAAATACCGACCCCTGCTTGTTCCGCGCACATGACCTTTTGATCGGCTGGCTTGGACTTACGCCTGTAATACTTCACTTATGGACACCAATGCAAAAATGCTCACTTCGAACAAGCTGAGGCCTGTAAAAGAACACCGCCCACTACAAGCTGAACCTTTGAAAGCAGCTGGCGATAAGCCGCAGTCAGGGCTACTGGGGGGATTGGGGGTCACCTGCTCTGCGCCAACCAACTCAAGCTGCCTGGACACTGCGAAATGCCCACCTTTTGAGGGTGGCCTCCATTGGCTCGTTGAACCAAGACGCCACCTTGCAGCGCAGGAGGAGGTCGCTCACCTGTGCCACTGTGTTCAGCTCCTGCCATAGGACCGGAGACGCCAGTCCCTTGAGGCGCTGATGAACATACATCGCAAAGATGGGCGCTAGCTACTCCTTTGAACTGCTATAAAGATCTCCCCTGACACTCATCAAATGCTCCCTCATGTTCTCGATGGCCTGCAAGGTCAGCGCGCCTGGGAAGCGCTCATGCCTGGTCTCCTCGAAGAGAGGTCCCTCGTCCTCCGTCCCCTCTTCCTCTGTAGATGTTGCTGCGCTCGAGTCCTCCTCGCCTGAGCTGATTGGTCCTCTTTTCTTCTCACTCTTCTGCCTTAGCTTCCTGGCCTTTTTAATCAGCCTCTTTCGTCGGCTGACATTGGGATCCAGGCAAGTGTTGGAAAACACCGCCCGGGCTGTTTTCTGACCTTTCTCCAGGCTCCTCTCCTTTTTCTTCTTTTTCATCTTTTCCTTTCCCACCTCCTTCTCTGTGAGCCCAGTCTCGAGCTGGCCACACTCATCCGTGCAGAGATGGACTGTAATGAGCCGATCTCGTCCTCCTCCAAAGGTCTCCATGACCCTGTCGGTTTGAGTGCCTGCCAGCACAAAGTCCATCTTGTTCTCTGCTGGATGAAAGGCTCGCGCTCGTCCTGCCACTTTGACCTGCGCCTGGTAGTACGATGCGCGATCCAACTCAATGATGTCGAGTTCACCAGCTTTTCCAAGGTGAGCTCCTTCCAACCATGAAGTCTCTCCACTGCTACCTCAGGGTCCTGAGCTGCAGCTGGCCTGCGGCGCGCTCTCACCCAGGGGGTTGCTGCATTCTGAGAGGCATCCCTCCCTTCACCAATAGCGTCGACCGCCTCGTCCTCACTCCTTTGTTGGTTGCTGTACTCCAACGAGGGTGCGATGAATAAGGAATGCATCCTCTCCAACCGCTTCTTGGGGTGCCCTCTTTCCAGTCCCCTTCGAACTGGTTGATCTCCCTGGTGGAGGATGCTCTGGTGTGTGAGGTGATCTCGCTCTCCTCTGTGTTGGCTTTGGCCTCAAATGGGGTTCCCTCTCAATAGTGTGTCTTCTCCAGCGATTTCTCCACAATCTCTTTCCCCTTTTTCTGGGAGGCGTGGTCCTCCCTTTTCTTGCGTCCGACCTCTGAGCCACTCACGTCTGTCGAAGTCGAAGGTCTTCTCCTGCGCCTCCTCTTCTCTTTCTCCTTTTGTCTTTTGGGAGTTCGTGAAAGGACCTTAATAACCTTGACCTCTTCTCTTCGTCGAGGCAACGGCTTCCTCTCCTCAGTCTGCTTTGATGTATCCTCAACTCCCTTGCACTCTCCTCGGGCTTGCTCGTAGGCTGTACCTTTTCCTTGGGCTGCTCCTCCTCAGGCTTTACAACTGGGGCTCCTCCGCTTTCTTTGAGTTCCTTGTCTGGGCTCTTGGGCGCTTCCTCCTTCACTCTCTGAAGTACACTGGGAGACTCCCCTCCCCTGGCCACTGTCTCCAGACCCTTCGCCTTGGGAGAAGCTTCTCCCTTCGAAGAAGTGGTAGCCCCCTCTCCTCCTTTTAAGCTCACCACCTGGTAGAAAGCGCTGTCAAGGGCTTCCACTTGGAAGGGCTGGGTCTGTGACAGCGACCCAAAGACGGTCAGCGCTCTGGCAAACAGCGCACGAACTGCCACTTCTTGCAGCTGGTGCAAACACTCATGCACCCTTCGAGCTATATATATATACTATACATCATTGTACATATATGTTTTTGTTATATATTGTATTATATGAGCAGTGGACAAAATTACTTGTGTAGCCAAATACCATTTGACATTATTATCGTTTTTTGGTGGAATCCATATCGTTCTCCAATGTTTCTCCAATCCGCAATTAGCATAGCATATCGGCACATAGACTAAAACACAGGATATAATTCACAACCTCAGATTAGAGTCTTAGAGGCTTGCAGTGCTTTCTGCACAGGAATGGCACAGCACTTGATTTATGCACTTGGGTTCTTGTGGCACTGGGCTGTGCAAGGATCACAATACATAAGCAGGGACCTAGTAGCTCGGTCCATGAACAAACACTAGTCACTA